TTATATACTTTTTATGGAATTAGCAAATATCAGGCAACTTGTTAAGCATTATCCATTTTTTTAAAAATAGCATCATAAGTATTTTCTTAGGCTTACAACTCCATTTTTCTTTTTGAGAACTTGATGCCAAAAACTTCCCCCCCTTATTTTTTTCAGCAATTCATTTGGAAAAAACAAAAGCTACACTTAAATGGAAATATAAAATACTCTGCTCTGGCAGTAGAGTATACTGTCCACTTACTCCTCAGGGAGAAAAGCTACTTGGGAAAAAAAAATTGGGATCCACTTAAGAATGACCAAATGTTATTAAAAAGTGGGTATTGAGTTATGTAACACTTAGATTTGGCCATCCAAAATTTTGACGCCATATGTTCAATTTTAGTATATTTTTCTCAAGCTCTTCGAGATGCATTTAATTTTTTATTTATTTTTTTAAGGATTTTTTTCCTTTTTCTTTTTCAGTGTTGGGGGAGGCAAGGGCCGACTTGGTAGCTAGGTTGAAGACGATACATGCCAAATTTTTGGGGTCCTAGAAATACTCCAAGTAAATGGATAGTATGCTCTCACCAAAGCAAGAAATCATTTTGAGGACCCAAAAACTGCTCTAATAACAAAATTAGAAGATATGAAAATACGAGGTAATTGATCTAAGAAGGGTGAGGACCTTAAACTTTCCCTTAACCCGTTTCAAACCCAGATAAAGGAAGTGGGTTGTGTTAGGTAGGCAGCCAATATAAAACTTTGCCAACGCTTTCCATGAATCCGCAATATACATTATCTTATTCTAGGGCGTTCCCCGTAAGCAACGTGCTGTACCAAATAGCCGACCCCAATTAGTTGGGAAAAGCCATGGTGGCAATGGACCCAGACCCGACCCGGGACCCGAGGGATAGACCGATCCAGGTCCTAATATGGGTCCAAGATTTGGACCTGAACACTATTCAGGTCCGGGTCCGATAATTATTTTTTGGGTTGCAATATATGAAATATATTTAAATATAGTCCAATACATAGATATTTTAATTTTTTGGGTCAGGTCCAGGTCCGGGTCCTAGTCCAAGCCAAACTCAAACCCGGATCTGACCCGACATGTCGCCACCCCTAGGAAAAAGGTTCTGATGATGATGAAAATATTAGGTGATAACGAAATCAATGCTGAAAAACAGAATAAATAGATTTTAAGCCACATCCTTTTTGGAAATGATTCCAAAGGAGGGCACTAAGTTTACTAAACACTTTGTCTAAGCTGCCCAAGTTGCACATCTTGCCTACTTTAAGGATGTTATACACCCCAGACAAGATTCTCCCTAGAGAAAAAGATTGTAGAAGACAGAAAACCTCAAGAGGAGACTGTCAATTGTGGAACATATTCTTCTAAACTATGTTTATGCTCACAGGATCAAGGAACACATCCTAAGTTTGTTTCAGATTTCGGGTTGATTTTCTCTCTGCTAAACCCCAACAATGGTGTCTGCCTGACCCCACCACTAGGCCCTATTCTTCGCGAAGAACTACTATTGGGTCTTTCACAGTCCCTCCAGCCTTTTGATTATTTCCTCGTATAGATTCACTCCTCAAATGGATCTTTTTCTATTAAGAGAGCGTGGAACTATATTAGAGACAGGGCCCCCACTAAAGGGATCTTCAAATATTTATGGGCTTTCTCATTTCCACCCTCGGGCCAAATGGTTCGCTTGGCTTGCCCTTCATCTTCCCCTCCCTAAATTAGAACTACTACAGTTCCTAGGGATCCATCTAGTACACCGTTCCCACTTGTGCCAGAATGTAGGTGATTTTGTTAACCATATTTGCTATATACTCTCCCACAGTTGTATTATGTGGCGATGTGGAGTTGGGTCAAATTCCGGTTTTGATCGGCAGGATTACGTAATGTTTGGATCTCTCTATTCTGCACAACCGTCGGGCTCCTCTGGACTAAAAGGAATTTGTGTATCTTTGAAGGAAAGAGACCCCAAAAGAGAACAACTGCACCGGATCATTTCTATTGTTGCGGGATTAGCACAGGTGAAAGGATGGACTTTCCAGTCGTCAAAGAAGCCTATCGTTGACAACCTCAAAATCCAGTGGCACCCTATACAACCTAAAACTTTGATGTTGGTCTCATGGTCTCCACCCCAAGGTGGTTTCTATAAATTAAACATTGATGGCTCATCTCTTGGCAACGTCGAAGTGGCTGGTTGTAGCGGATTTATCAAAAACGATATGGAAGGGTTTCATGCTGAATTTTGTTGTTCCTCTGTAGACTATTTAAGAGTCAGGAACACATCATGGGCTCTCTGATTGTCTACGTCCTTAACCGCAGAGAAGTATCCAACCATAGAGTTGTTATTGAGGCATGCTAACAAAAGTGGTTTGTTTGGAGCTCTGCTGGTAGACCTAGATACAAGGTCTAGAGTGAAAAGCCACCTGAGGATCACTTAAAAGTTAATTTCAGCATAAGCTCATTCAGACATCCAAGGCTGTCTTGGATGAGGATTTGATTCAAGATACCGCTTATTGGGTCATCAAGACCAATTGCAAAGTTAGATTAATGAATTCATGGAGTTCAAAGCAAGAGTTGTTAGGAGCCTCAAACAGACAAGCATCTCCTCCCTCTCGATGTTATTACAACCACCTGGCAAAGGCAGTCCAAAAAAGATCAAACCAGTTCAACCGGATGATCATAGCGCAGTTTTTCTTTATAATTTTTAATTTATTTTTATTTATTTCTAAAACAACTTAACTAGTGAACCAGCGAGTCCAAATAATTTGGACCAACTGGTATCCTCACTGATTTGATGACTGGTTAGTGTTAATACATTGCTCCCTTCTCTTACGGAAGCCTCTTGTCAAAAGGGATTTTGTTCAATGTAAATAGATGGGGCCCCAGAGAGACAATTATCTATGGAGATTCTTGCCATTATGAGGGAGACCCTTAGTTTTTGGATTTATCCATCTTTTGAGAGAGTGTCCTTTAGGCTCCATTTCAATGAATCTGACATGACCCTCCCTTACTTTACTGTTATCACAAAAAAAAAAAAAAAAAAAATTCACATTCCTGAAAGGGATATATATAGATGTATAAGTCATTATGTAGATAATAGAAGGCTAGAATATTAAAGGGCCATTGAAAATATTAGGAGTTGAGGACAAGCCACGCTAGTCATGAGCAATTCATATGGTTATTCACTAGCAAAAAGTTGGAGAAAACAGAGAACATTCCTAAAAGGGATATATATAGATGTATAAGCCATTATGTAGATAATAGAAGGCTAGAATATTAAAGGGCCACCGAAAATATTAGGAGTTGAGGACATGCCACACTAGTCATGAGCAATTGATATCCTTATTCACTAGCAAAAGGTTAGAGAAAACAGAGAAGCCCAGGTAGCTCATTCATTCAAAACCACTAAGTAATAGGTCAGAAGGCCCCTAGGGGATTGTAACCCTGACCAATGATGTGAATGATAGACATTATATTCACCACCGCAAATTTACCGGTCTAATAAACAGGGAGCATGAGAAAGGGTATGGCCTCTATTCAAAAGGATTATTCAATTTATTCTCGAATTAATCCTAAATTTCCCATAAAATTGAGAAACCTTTTGATCAAGCAGCCGGTACTATTATCTATTCACAACTGGACTCTGTTCACCAAAACCAAAGAGAAATGAGAGTCACATTTTAGAGAAGAGCAAAGAAGTTAGGATGCAGAAAGGGGTCCGTGTGCCATGCATGTGCGCACATGTGTGTGTGTGAGAGAGAGAGAGACAGACAGACAGACAGAGAGGGACAGGGAGCTGGTACAATAATTGGGGAAGAAGAAAAGGTAACAATAGTGGCAGAGAGGTAGGGATTGTCTAAGACTCCAGACAGGAAATTTAGATTTTCACTCGGACCATGTAATTTATCATGAAAGTTTAATAAAAATGCATTGAGAATCCCAAAGAATGATGGTAACAAAAGCATTGAGAGGAAAAAGCATAGAGAATCCCTAAAGAGTGATGATAAGAAAATGAGAGTAACGAAAAAAGGATCCCTAAGAAAAAAATGAGTGACATAATTACATGTACACTCAAGAATTTATATAAGACAAAAATAAAACTAGAACAATAAATAAATACTAATATAATAATAATAATATAATATATATATAATATATATATATACGTGTAGGAGAGAACG